AGTTAACACACATTATGTTTGTTTCATTCCAAATCCATTGTGGTGGTGTATAGAGCCAAAGATGTTAGAATTGTGTCGATGTCCCAATACTTCTGGACCTGACTATAGTTGTGACATTTAAAGATTGATATAGCTCTGCATGCAACTTTCTGAACAATTACCTACCTTCACATAAAACTAAAAGTATTGCTAAGAACTTTGTCCAAAGTACTTCAGTACCAAACATGGCAAATAAGACAATGGCACTTTCACCAATGGCATGTCATTTATTGAACTTTTCCCAGGCATTGTCAGGAGTTACCTTCTGGGCTCTGAGGAAATACACTGTTATTTATCCAAATCTTTTAAAACTGTTTAAATCTGCTTTTTTTCTTGTTGCTTTTAGTTATTTATTAAAGTTGAAAATCCAATGAATAAAAAGTACTTCACATGAGCACATATCTCCATAAAATTACTGATAGAAATATCAGACCCAAAATAAAAAGTATTGAAACAGGTTGCCTCTCTACTCTCACTCTCAGGCAGTAGAATCTCCTAACCATTTCCCTGTTTCTCCTCGGAACTTAACTGAGGCTCATTCCCAGGTAAATGGTATTTAATGGCAGGCTGAAAATAATTTGGAGAAAGAGATAAGGAAGTCAAGGAAGTACAGCAATAATAGCAAATACTCTCATACAGAGAATTCCCCCCCCCCAGATTATATCTGGAGTTATTGACAGAAACGAATATTGTGAAGATATTCCTAGATTTAATCTAAATGGAAATTATTCCACCTACATATAAACATACATACTCATGCACACTGAGTGTATTATAGCATTCAATTGGTAGGGAGCCAGTACGTACATAGAATATTATAATGTTGAACTGTCTATGGGAAGACTCAGATTAGGTCTTCAGTCACAACGTTTCATTGGGTGATTTTGGGCCAGCCACTACACCAAACTGGCTTCTAGGCACACTGTACCAGGGCTTCAAATCTCTAGATTATCACTAGATGATAGCAAAGATTTTCTGTATTTTTCTGCAGTTATTTGGTGGCTGTCTGATTTTTTTTCAGACCAGACATGGCATGCCAAGGGAGAATATATGGTATGAATATGACGTCTCCATTTCTGCTTTTGGTTATTTTTATTGCTATGAGCAATCTCAAACCTAAATTAACCATAACACCTGATAGCCTCTTATAACACATCCTTAATACTAAAAAACTGCTCTGCATATATACAAGATTAACATACTTTATTTCCTAAAATTCATAAAAATTGCAATAATTTTCATAGTAGTATCAGAATGAGCAAGTAGGAGAAACTGTCATATGTATTCCTATGATGTGATAATACCAAAAAAAAAAAAAAAGTTTTCTCTATTTTGTGTTCAGAGATAGCATATGAAACCAAAAACAAGACTCAGTTTCCCACTCAACTTCCTGCTGAGTTTCTGAACATGAGTAATTCCTTCTAGAATGAGTAAAATAAAGGATCAATGTGTATAAAGGAAATTAATTCGATGTTGATATTTCTAGTAGTTTCTACAGAAACTGAATTCAGTACAATCTAAAAATTTACATTTCTGACACTGAGAAAATCAGGGCACAATAATATATTATTGGAAATCTGAGTGAAGACAAGTTCAAAGACATCATGTCACTATATATATATCCACAAGTTCTGTGTTAAGACTTGTAACATGAGAGTTACCTATTTCAATTAATATTTTCCAGCAGTGAGGAGCAGCATCATTCTCTTGACCCCTCCCCGTTGCATTTTATTACATTTACCCATTTCTTCCAACTCAGTCATTTTGAAAAAGAGACATTTCTTTTACAGGAAAAAAACCTGTAATTAACTGAACTGGTACTTTTTAAGCTGCTAAGTGCTTTTAGTGCTTAAAAATTCTGGCTGACATAAGCACTTCTGATTTTTGGAAGAAAATGACATCAGTGAGATTAACGGATATTGGAAGCTTCTAATATAAGATGACATTGTTTACTTTGGAATGTGACTATCTCTTAGGAGTTATGGGTTATATCTGTCTGGGGTATTGCTAAGAGAATTATTTTGAGAAAAGGACAAGTAGCATTATTCTTGGTATTAAGGACTGAATTCAAGAGATGTATAATTTATCTGTTTTTGAAAAGGCAATTTTATCTACTAATCAAAAATGACACAATATATTTTCTTCAGGGATAGATTTCATGACATTTTATAATAGTAGAGTACTGTCATATATTATTTTCTTTCATTTAGATTTAGAAGTTATGTACTGTTTAATATTTGGATATTTGATATGTATAGATAGTTTGTAATCTCTTTTTTGTCAGTTTTTCCTTTTTTCTGAGTTTAGCTTGTTATTGCTTCTTTTTTTGTATTTTTTTTGGTTAAACTTGTTAAAAAATTATCTATCTATCTATCTATCTATCTATCTATCTATCTATCTATCTATCTATCTAATCAAACCCCTCCTCCCAACTTCTTTCAAATAATAGTATGGCTTGCTTTGTATTGACAGTGTTCTTTTCTTTCTGTAATTGTCTACCATTATACCATTAAAAATTCCTTTTGGCTTGCATTGCCTAACCAAAAAGCCACAAAAGTGTGCATTCCGTGAGTCAAAAATTTTGGGGACCTTTTAGTAGATTGCACAGATTGCCCAATTGTACCTGGGAACCTTACCTGGGAATATTAGTGAGATATGTCAAAACACTTTGAAACTCCTTTTCTGGAATTTCACTGAATGTGGAATATTCGGGAAAAGTGATGACAGGACAGCCATCTCTTCCTCGCCCGCCTAAAAAGACAAACAAATTTCATTCCCAGAACAAAGCTTATCATGTTGTTTAAAAGCACTAATATGAAAATAGGTGAATTGATCTCTACTGATTGTTTGTAGTGACAGCCCCATCCAGGTGGATCAAAATCAATACCAATATTATAGATACAAAATGAACACCAAGGCACAAATTATATAATTGATTTTCAGCAAAATTAGAGTTGTTTTGCCCACTGCCAGAAAAGTTCACTTCAAAAGGGAAATGTCTGCTTTGCTTACGGACTGGATTTGTACAAGACACTTGAAATCACCAGCCTGAAAGCACTATATTCCAATTCAGATCAGGCTGTACATTTGTATTGGAACAAAGTGGAATATATGATAAATTTGGGAGACAATTACACATCTCTCCAATATCAGCATTTGTGTATCTCTGGCTGGCTACATTTTTTAATCTCCCATTGGCACAGGGGGAAATAGAAGATATAAAAAGCATTTTATCTTTAAAATGTACATCTTTGAGCTTTGTAATGCAAAGACCTTTTTACTTCTCCAAGTTTTATAAATTTGGTTTAAATTTTGAATTGGTTTTAGCTCTTACATTTCATCATTTCATTTTAATTCAGGTTTCTTTTAACATGGTGATATATTTCTTCATTGAGATCATTTCTAACTTTTCTTAACAATGCAACAGATTTTAGCTAGCAGGGCCCAAAAACAGAAGTACAGCTGATATATATATGCCATCAAAATGGCCACCCTAGCAGGTTGTACCTTAACATCTCTCCTAGCTTTTCTAGGTGCTTTTATCAGACTAGTACACTTCTGATTTTTCATGGAGGGGAGCACACAAAAGGAAGATTAAGAGCAGAAACAATCCTTTGTGAAAGGGCTCTAAAGGACTGCTTAAGAAAGACCTGGAGCTCAAAGTTTAATTTGGTGGCAAAATACTCAGCTGTTAAATACTGTTGAAATCAAAGAGAGAAATCAATAGAAAGAAAAGAACCATCAAGTGCACAAGAGAAGATAGCAACAAAAGAAGCACCAACTGAAAAGCAAAAAGAATTTTAAAAGGAAAGGGAAGAAAGAAAAAAAAAATCTTCCGAAGATTAATTCTGGGGTTAAATGGAATCTAAGGTGAGCATAGTAGGGCCAAAGAAAAAGCAAATGAGTTTCCTTCAATACTAGGGATAAAGGAACAGCATTTTGGTTACATTTGATAGTACCCTAGATAACAAATGGGATAAATATCCACAATTAAAAGCACGCAGAGTAAGCAAACGAGAATGACAGAAGAGACAGAGAAGGATATTATGGACTGATGAGCAACGAAAGTGGCTGGGCTACAGCCCCACAGGGCCCTGGCAGAACCAGAATGGAATGATGTGACCATCCAGTTCTTCTTGATTTCTCAGCAGCTTTTGATACCACCAATCATGGTATCCTTCTGGACTGATTACATGGTTTGGGAATGGGAGGCACAGTGCTGCAGTACTTCTGCTTTCTTCTTGGCCAATGCCAGTCAGTGTTGACAAGAAGGAAGTGGTCCAGCCCCAAACCTCAGGTTTGTGGGGTGCCTCAAAGCTCAATGCTCTTGCCCCCTCCCCCCATTCAACATGAAGCATCTGGGCAAGGTCATCCATCAGCATTGGTTAGACATCATCAGTATGCTGATATTGTGTGTGAGCAAGTTCAAGTCAGTTGACTCCCGTGACTGCATGGATTAGTCGCTGCATTTTTCTTGGCAAGGTTTTTCAGAAGCGATTTGCCATCACTTACTTTCTAGGGCTGAAGGAGTGGCTGGCCCAAGGTCACCCAGCTTCACTTCATGCTTAAGGCAGGACTAGAACTTACAGTCTCCTGGTTTCTAGCCTGATGCTATAACCACTACACCAAACTGGCTCTCTATGCTGATATTAACAGTTGTATATTTTGACTCCTGGTTGATGAAGTGATGCTGCTGAGGTCTTGTTCCAGTGCCTGAAGGTTGCATGGATCCATATGGGGAGCAACAGCTTTAATCCTCATAAGACAAAGTGGCTATGCGTGCATGGTTCTTCCTGTGCCAAGGATTCTCCATTTTTGTTTCTAAATTAGGTGGCAATCTGGGGGTTCCTGTGGACTCAAAGAGCAGGTGGCAGCTATGGCCAGGAAATTCTTTTCACAGATTCATCTAATGTGCCAAATGCACCCTTTCCTGGAATGGATGCCCCTTCTCGTGGTCATTCATACCTTGGTCACCCTGCATGTGGATTACTGCAATGTGTTCTACAGTGGGGCAAAAAAGTATTTAGTCAGCCACCAATTGTGCAAGTTCTCCCACTTAAAAAGATGAGAGAGGCCTGTAAT